AGTGCCTTTACAGGAGCTCTAAACATTTGTGACTGCGCTGGAGATGGGAATAGGATGACCTTGGGTGTCAGATACATCTCTGTTCCTGTGTCATCTTCAGACAGCCACTGTTTGACCACTATCTACTAGATGCATTCTATCCGACACTTGTAACAATAGTGTAAATGGGACGAAAATTGAGCTCACCTTAAAGGCGGACTTCAGTCCTCTTGAAGGCTGAAAGCCCTGGATGAGCCCAGTGCCCAGTGGCAGCTCAGAGTCCTTGTTTTGCTCCCTGAGACGTGTGTAATCAGAGAGAAAGTCCAGCACAGATTACAGTCTTCAATCAGTCAGTGAGGAAAATGATATGTACATCATTGTCTCTGCCGCACATCCCAGGCACTGTCAGCCTGCATGCATATTACCTGTGTCAAAGCTGCCAGGGACATGACGAGAGAAACTGAGAGCCATCACAGAGCCGCCACTCAGGGGGGGTGTCTGGTCTCTGAGCGCAGCAGCCAGATTCAGTCTCCATGGGGACTCTGCTCTGACCTCTGGGATGTTGTTGACACCATTTAATGTACATTTTCAGATACAAAACGTCTCCTTTCATGTCGGAAATTGTTTTCAATGGTCCGGAGGCCAGCTCTTGTCACAGAAAGAAAATACTCAGCGCACACTCGCAGCGTTTCTTTTTCTTTCTTTTTTTTTCCTCCCCTCGACTCGGGAAAGTTGAAGCTGTTTGACCTTGAGGTTCACAATAAAGAGAGTTATTTCATACAGAGTGAAAACTATATGACTGCTGTGAGGAAAGGCTAAAAATTATCCCTGCTAATCTTCTCATAGATCTCTAACGTTATCTTATGCAATTGTCTCCACACTAAAAACAGACTCATACTGTGTATGAGTACAAAGAATGGCATAATGTGGGAAATTTCAAATGGAGGTCTTGCATTGTTGTTGATTCAATTTTCTCAGCTGGATTTGCAAAAAAAACCCACCCAAAAACATACATTGAATAAATGCAAAACGGCAGGAGAGCAAAATTTCACAATAAAGATAGCAAAGACAGATCTGATCTGAACTCCACCCTCTTGAAACAGAACATAGCCAGACCATAATTTTCCTGAGACAAGAGTGTTAAATTTGTCGCTGTGAAGGGCACCTCTGCATAGAAGGATGATGGAAGACGATTTGCAGCTACACGCACACACCTTACTCTTCTACTGGCTGTACAGCTATAATGTTATTATCAATAATGACCAAAAAACACACGCATACGCGCGCAAGCATGCAACTACTAGTCTTGGCCACCAGGTTTACATAATAGCCCCCCTGTCCCACGCCAGGTATCTGTTCACCTTGACAAGTCCAGACCTTAAAGCAATGTCAGCACAAGCACTTTCTAGCTCGACGATTCTGTTTGTCTCTTCTGGTCCTGCTGGGGCTCTGGAGGGAGGTCACCAAATAGTCTCTGAAGTAAAAAAAAAAAGGCACTGACCTTCTGCTAAATTGGCCACATTCAGAAGACAGCGAATATCAGGTTATTGAGTTGATCCATGCTGTGTTTCCTTGCCTGGGGAAAATGATCTGCACTATTGTCTGCCTTCTGCAGTTGATCAAGGGCAAGAATGTGTCAGGAATGTTGAAACGGGAGGCACTTTTAAAAAAACACATACTTTCAAATGTCCTCCTAATGGTTAAAGAGAAAAACAACATAAGCACCCCGCTGTAAACAAAATATTAAGTGGCATGGTAAGTGCTTTTCACTTATGAAGAGGCTTACAGCTCATATCTAAACAAAAATTAGATAAAGGCTTTATGCTTTAAATTTTGTGAAATGTTTTGAGGGGGGGGGGGGGGGGGGCACATTGTAAATGAATGCAGCTGCAGAACCCCAACAATTCATTGCACTGTACTTTCAAGTTGTTGATTCCTTGAGAAAGGCAAATAATAGTCATTCTGCAAAATTGCAGGCCTATCCTTCAACAACTGGGGAAAACAGTTAAAATTGGGCACGGATAGGGAAGAAGCAGCCCTCTCGCTGAAGTATTTCGTATATTTGGGACAGCATAATGAAATAAGTCATTTCTGCCAACAGTTCACATTACCTCCCAATGGTTAAGAACCATAATCCCAATATCATTTTGAATTCTATCACACATACAGTTGGAAATGTTATTGCATGATTACAGTGTTCCTTTCCCTCTGCACAGTTATTGTATTTATGCATTTTGCACATGAATTGGAAGAGAAGTTGAGCACCATGTACAATTACACCGCTGTTCAAAAACAGAGTTAGAAGAACCAAATCTATTTGGTACAATGGAGGCGTACAAGCAACTTGTAGTGTAAGCGCTGCTTGAAATGATACCTGTCTATCACAAAAACACAACACAGAAGTCATATGATGGAAATCTCTTTGCTTCTGCTCTCCAAAGCAGGGCACAGGATGAATCCTGATTCATTGTTGTTCTGCGAAAATGTGCTCCACGTAGTCTTCAAACGACATCACTTACAATTTGCAACTAAGTGCGTGCTGCGAAGACATCACCTGATCAAATCTAAGCCTTGCATGTAGCTGTGCCTCTTTTCTTTTCTTTTCTTTTTTTAAAATGTAAGATGTATCTCAAAATTCATTAACTGGACTGCCGAAAGCTCTTGTCGTTATTATATACTGCGGGGTGATGTTGACATAAGCGTCTCAGAACACAAAAAGAGGAGCTTGAACAAAGTTCGCCTCAAATCTAGGTGGCTAGTTGAAAAGTGAGTGTGGATAGTGTCACGCTTAGCAGCCACCCGATCTCTCTTTCCTCCCTTTAACCTGCCGAGCTGCCACGGAGGATCGCCCACTGATGGCACCTTTTATCTGCCACAGCCAGAAGAACCGCGGCTCTTCCTGTTACGAGGCAGTGGCACTTTGTCAAGCAAGACAAAGTTATCCTGGGGTCTGATACTGGTCTAGGAGTATGATTTGCATCATAAAAGCTTAAAGCAGATGACACAAAACCAGTGGTATGCAATATTAAGCTGCACAGACCTAAAAAAAAACCTAAAAGAAAATACCTTAAAGCACCTGAATTTTTCTCAAATCTGCAACAATTCACAACTGGAAAAACCACGATACTCCGCGCTGATCGTCCCTGAGGTCTGTGCATCACAGATTTCATTCCTGCAGGGGAGCAAAGATTATTACAATATTCAGATTACCGAGCAGAGGAAATTAATTGGACTAATTAACATACAAGTAAATGATGATACCGTTAACACATTTCATTAACTCTAACTGTCATTCTATGTTCCTGGTGCACTTGGTATTGCATTACAATGAATCGGATTCATTAAATTATGCAAATGAAAGGAACGACAAAATGAACGAGTCCTTTTGAACATTATGGACCACATTTTCAAACTCAAATTGACTAAGAGTCAAAAAGCATGTGCTTTCCACTCAGATTTACCAGATAAAGCTTTTCATAGACTACCACTTTAATTATGTTCACAGGTACTAAAACCAGGTAGGCTATAATATGTAACCAACTCCCTGATTCTGCAGACTTGAGTCTAATGTTATAGAACAAAATAGAAACACTACCTAATTAGCAAAATGTCCCATTTAGTGGACGAGTTAAAGATAGTGATGCGGCACGTGTCAGATCCGAGGTTAATCAAAATATTAATAAATTAGCGTCAGGAAATGGCGTGCACATTTTGAAGTCGGAGGCAGAGCAGCTGTTACGTCTCGTGCCTCTCTGCAGGGTTTGTTCAAAGTCACGAGACAGCAGTTGGTTCTCCAGCAGCAGAATATGTTCCTGACATTTCTGTGTGACATTAACTTGCGGTTAATTGTGGGGTCTGCACTTCTCATTGGCCTCGGAGACTTCTGTCTTCATCTTAGCTGCAGCTACACGGGGAAGGTCAAGGGGTCAAACGTACCTCCCGTCCTCATCCCTTGGCTGTAGTGACATCTACTGGACTACTAACCCACAGTATGCGCTTTGCAAAGAGCTGATGCGTCTTTGGGGGAAAAGAAAAAAAATCAAACTGGTCTCACGTTTAGTCGTTTTAGTATTAAATATCAAACTGCCCTCAGACAGCAGACATGGTACAACCAAGATACATTAAAAAAAATGAAGAAATCAAAAAATAAAGAGCATTCAAGTATAACAGAAACATTTATATTGATGCTATATTGATATATTTATACAGAAGACTGGAGTGAGGATAAACCTTCAGTGTTTAGCACAGAATATGAAGATTCTTCTTCATGCGTTTCTTGCTATTTGACTCAGATGGCATTTTAATCTCTCTTGAAGAGGAAGGTCTCAAAATAGGGGAAAAAACTAAAGAATAAATATGAAACAAGTAAATTTAATGTTCAGTGTGTATGTGTATTCAATTTAATAGTTAAGCAGTTTGGGAGGTGGCAGTAGAAGAAAGAAATAAGAGACATAAATGGATAACCCACTACAGGGGAATGTAACATGCAGATAAAGAAATACAACACGAGAAGAAAAAAAAAAAGCAATGCACATTTACTGACAGTGGGTATAACAGACAGTTTGCTGGGAAACATACAAAATATTTTTATACAAAATCTGAACAAGATTAAAGTGTTGAGAGCAGTGACGTTTAAAAGAGTACCACTTTTTAGTAATACAGACATTTTTCAAGTGCGCGATAGGACCGATAGAGCCAGATCCTGGTGAAAACTTCCTAACATGAACAGGTGGATGCTATGAAAAGAGAAATTATAATATAAAGCACAGCTGACATGATAGGATCAAATAGGTAACATGATGACAGCTTCATTGGCCTCAGCTTTTCCGTCCATCAAAAACAAAAACAAATGTTCCCACAACATCCCGCTATGGCCCGAGAAGCTACAGGGGTAATTTACCTTTACTTACATCACACAGTCACGAGTCACCCTGAGTTTGGTTTTCAATTTGGCAATTACCTCCAGAAAAATGGCTTTTTTTTCTTAATATTACAACATATTTTCATTTGAAAATCCTCCAAAAAGGATTTTTTTTCTTTTTTCTACAAACCCCCCCAAAAAACACATGAATTACATATAATGGAGCCATTTGAAATGTTCTGAACCTTCAATGGCGCAAACGCGTTGTTTATGTAAAGCCCAATATAAATGGCTCTTCAGTCAAAATATTTCATATGCAAATAATGTGTATCATATCAAGAGTAAATGTTAAGAGGAATTAAAATACAAAAAAATTTGATTGTTTTTCCATTTTCACCTGCAAAATGTAGCAGGCTTGAGGAAACTCATTAAAAAGCGAGGAAGGAGGGCTTTGCAAGCAGACTGGAAGGAAACAAGAATGCATAATAATAACAATAATAATTTAAAAAATGTAAAATTTGCATGGGCATAAACAATAACTTTGTTTCAGCTGGATAAAATTAGCTCTGCTGTGAGATTTAGTCTTTGCACACAGGAATATTGGGGGGGGGGGGTTGCCTATTATGAAGGACATCATCAAAATACACCATCAACAAAAGGTGAGGAGAAAAGAAACTGCTCAACTTACCAATCATTTTCATGAAAATCACATTATTAACAAATAAGTAAATTTTAAAAGAAAGTGGAATCCTACATTTTTCAACTACACAGTATTGTACAAAATAAGGCATTTCCTTGTGTGTTTACTGCAATGTCTTTTTCCACCTTTGCTTGTTTTCTCTCAGTATGCGCTGAGGATGGACACGGACTGACTATTTCTGTGTTAAAATATATATATTTATATATTTATAATTTTAGTTTTTTCCTTCAAAACGTGAATAAAAATGCAGGTAGGAGTATACAGTATGAGGGAGGTCGCAGAAGTTCATAAGCGGAGTGTAAATCACTCCATGACTTCGCTGGCCGCTACTGTGGTGACGAGCTGGAGTGGGATCTCTGCGTTGGCTAGGATGTCCTGGGCGTTGCTGGAGCCCTGCTGGATGTTGGTGAGGATGAGGGTGGCGCCTGCCGTGGTGATGATACTGTCTGAGGACCCTGCGGATTCCATCGAGGCCACCACGGCGCTGCCAGAGTTCACGCCTTTTTTGTTCTGATGAGTTTTAATGTGCTTCGCCAGGTGGTCGCTCCGCATGAAGCGCTTGGAACATTCTGGGCAGACAAACTTCTTCTCTCCTGCCAGAGAGAGAGAGAGGAAACAGTTTCAAAGATAGTTTGATGCTGAATTCATTTGGAGAGGGTTAAGCATGTCGTCTATCACCAGATCACAAGAAGTAAAAAAAAAAGTGCCAAGCAAAGTTCAAATTGATTGATCCATGAATAGATGGAACACACAAAAATAACAAAAGGCAGAACTGCCAGCGACATGCACATTCTTAATAGTTTTATTGTGTGCTGTTACTGAACGCTGTATGACCTGGGTCCAATGTTTAATCTGAATTAGTTTCCTAAAGCCAGTCTGTCACTGACAGAAATGACAAATTGATGCTATACAGCTGATTACAATTATTACCAATTAGAAGCCTACAATCATCGAACATCCTCTTGAAATGTTAACTGTGAATGCTAACTGTTCATATCCTGCAGCTGACAGCGTAATAAAAGGCTACTTTAGCCCGTCTTGTCAGAGGCCTCGCTCTGCCAGCGATATGCAAAGATAACAGTATGACCAAGTGGTGATATCGCTATCAAAGGTCTGTCCTGCCATTAACGTTGTGGCAGTAGATTTATCTGGAATTCTCATACATACACTCATACTTCCTGCATTTCATGAATCATGACTAAAAATCAAAACAATAAACATTCAGCTCACTATTGTTGTAAAGTTTCACTGTTGTTAACAGATCCTTCAACTGCAGGACAAACTGTTTAAAGCACATTTTAAGATTCCCTCCAAGCCAGTGAATCTAGCTATGTGTGTTTTTCTCACAATGGTCTTCAATCCTAACCTGACATTTTAAATCCAGAGGGGGACAAACGCTGTTATTTCTTAGGTGACTCACGCTTTGCAGGGCACAAATTAACACATTTTACTGATTTTATGGATGTTTTCCTGATGTGCAAACATCAAGGGAGCAAAAAAAGGGCACCTGTGTGTGTTCTCCTGTGCCTCTGCAGCTCATCGCTGCGTGTGAACCTCTTCCCACAGAACATCCAGCTGCAAACAAAAGGTCGCTCCCCTGAATGCCAGCGCAGGTGTGCTCGCAGGTGCGATGTCTTTCCGTATACTTTCCCACAGCCCGCGATGTGGCAGATGTGCTGCTTCTTTTTCCCCATGCTAGATCCTCTGCGAAACACAGGCACTGACATTAAAGATACTGATACATAGATGAGAGAAACAAAAGAAACAAAGGTCAAGATTACTCACCTGCCACCCGACTCTCTGCAATTAGGGCAGGTACATGCCACTCTGCGCAGCCTCTTGCCCTCTTGGCCAAGCTGATCCTCCTCATCCACCAGTCTGACTCGGAGGTGGGACAGATCGCTCGTGTTCAGGGTAGAATCAGTGCTAAGCTGCCATTCTCCAGAGTCTGGCTCTTCCTTGATCTGAATATCTAAAAATTAATATTAACAGTCTTCAGTTATAACTGGCCAAAAAGCCTGAACAGTGAGAGCTGCTTTGTAACTGTGTGTGATTGACAGCAAGGCAGCAGACTTAATGTATCAGTGAGAATTCTGATGACTAATTAAGCGTACCCTGTGGACTTTTTGGCCCACATGAGTGACAGAAAATGGGTGGATGGACTTTGCTACAATCAGAAATTTCATCACAATGTTATGACAGCAATAATTACATATAAAGTTGAAACACAAAGACGTTTTGAGGACGTAAACAATGAGTGTTGATGAGACTAAGCAGACTACGTTCACTGGCCACTTTATTAGGTCCACCTGTTTAACTGCTCTTTAATGGAAACACATGGGGGCAAATCAGTGCATTTAGGCATGCAGACCGCCTTGTATTAAAAGTTCAGGCTGCTGCTGCTGGTGTAATGGTGTGGGCCATATTTTCTTGGCACACTTTGGGCCACGTTGTACCAACTGAGCATTGTTTAAACAACACACCCTACAGGAGGATTTTTGCTGACTATGTCCAGGATAATTTGCTAATCTCAAACCGGTTTCTTGAACATGACAATGAGCTCTTGGTACTCAAATGTCCTACACAAGTCACCAGATCTCAGCCCAATACAGCACCTCTGGGAATGGAAAATTCACATTATGATGTGAAATCTGCCGAAACTGTTGGATGCTATTACGGTATGTCAATATGGACCAGAGCGGTCATTGGAGAAAACGCACTGGTGTAATTGTTTAATGTTATTCCTGTGTCCCCATAAACACGACGATGTTTCACGTGCACAACTTTAGGATCTTGAAACAAAAGCATCTAAATGGAATCCAGACATTACCAATGTTGATATTTCCAAGTGTGCTTTTAAGCAACAACTCATAATCTAAAAGTTACATGGATTATTATATAAATATATTATGAATAAATAAGTAAAACAAATACAAAGACGTCACTGGATTGTCTACTCCGAGCACCAAGAACAAATTCCACTGACCTTCATTGCATTAGTATAATTAGTAACTGAATACATTATAGCAATTTACAAGTAATTTGCACATGGAAGACCTTTCTGGAAGCTGCTAAACGGGCTAGATTTAAAAGTAAATATGCAAGAAACTTAAAGAGAATTAGAATATAATTATGGGATGTAAAATAATGAAAGAGCATTTTGACTTTAAAACCTTTAAAAAGAGCCTCGGACAGTCTAACATGTGTTTTAAGTTCCATTGCTGATTAGACCTTTACTCGTAGGTGGGTTCGACTACATTAAAAATTGTCAGAGAGCAAAAAAGTTCACGCACTAATAACAACAGCAAAGGTCTAATTTGTCCCACTCTGATAAATACCAATAAGGTACATGTACAGATGCCACAAAAGGACAAATTGGTCAAAATCTTTCTTCTCCCGAGTGTATTGTGACAATATGAAGAGCTACTATACCTGCAGGGTGATCAGTGTCTCCTTCCTGCTGGGCCACTGAATTGACTGTGACTGTCTGCAGGTTGGGGATCTGTCCTGTGCTGATGTTACCCAGGGACAGGGTCTGGACTGGAGCAAGAGTTATCTGCTGGGGCGGTGTGGTGGGCAGCTGGAGATTCTGGAGGTTCTGCACTCCTTGCACTTGAAAGGTCTGCCACTGTATCTGACCTGATGGCGTAACTGTCTGAGCTTGGATGATGAAGGTTCCCGGGTTGATCAGTTGCACATTTTGCAGACTCTGCCCACCTGCCGCCACTGACTGCACCACCTGTCCGTTGGTGGTCTGAACAGGAACCTGCTGCAGCTGGATGATTGGCTGAGCTGATGACGCATGGACATTTAGCTCCTGATTTTGCTGGACGAAGCCTTCTTGGAGACCAGAACTTGAGTTGGCTTGCTCCGTAGCCACTAATGGTAATGAAGTGTTCTGGGTTAGCAGACCTGCTTCGCTTGCTGTAACGTGTAGAGAGGAAGACGTTGGCACAAATATCTCAGGATTTGCATTCGAGTCATTTACTGGTAGTGTCTGTGAGAGGTGGTCATCTGTCTTAGCCAGACTCTCAGAGCCATCCACAGGCTGACTTGCCATAATTAGCTGGCCATCAGCAGTGACCCCTGTTGCTATAGTTTGAGCACCAGACAAGCCAAGGGAGTCCAAGTCTACGCTGTTAACAGGAACAAAGGTAATGTTCCCGGGCAAACCCACAGGCACATTAGTAACAACCTGGCCCTGGTTGTTGAAGGTGGAGCTGCCAATAGAAACCCCCTGGATCTGCTGGATGTTAGCAGTCTGTGAAATGAGGTTCTGGTTGTTGTTAAGGATGTTTGCAGTTGATGTCACACTGAGACTCTGGCTACCATCAGGCAAGATCTGAATGTGTCCCGTAGCATCCTGAGTCAGGGTTGGTCCTTCCACACTGGCCGTGGAGAAGCTCAGCTGTCCATCTGCTGTTTGAATCTGAGGAATTACTTGGTACTGAATGTTAGGCACTGAATTGGCAGAGGAGTCGTCCGTTCCTGACGTAACAAAGATTGGCTGACCCTGTAAGTTCTGGATAGGAAGAACATACTGCCCATTTGACGTTAATATCCCTTGACTTTGGATCTGTACTATTCCAGACTCATCTTTTGCTGCTGTTGTGGGGGTTAACACCTCCCATTTCTCTGTCCCAGTAAGCTGCGTAGATGGATGTGAGATCTGAGAAAGAAAACAAATCACATAAAATAAAACACATTTAAAAAGTAGATTCAGAACTCTAGTTATATTCATCTTTTAAGGTACAGAGATGACTGTATGAAAATAAAAACCTGCATTTGCTAAATGACCAAAATTCTTTTGTTTGGCTGAAATTTAGAGGTCTGTCTGCCATTCCTATTCATGCTAATGTAACTAAGCTGATTCCCTTTGTCTTTTATTAGCACTGTAGCATTGACTCCAATAATGGATGATATACTGGCATCTAACTATTACTTTTCTAGTCTTAGTGACCACTCAAAGCTCTCTACATTCATACAACACTTCAAGCACTTTATTTCCCTCACATCCACCGCCAATTTAGAATCACTGATTACCTAACAAGACTGAAGCTGACACATGTGTAGGAAACCCACACAGGCACAGGGAGAACACGCAAACGCCACAGCTGACTAGGAGAGTCGAACCACAAACCTCGAAGATGCAAGCGCTAGTCAATCTACCCAATGTTATCAGTGTCCTGCATCGATGCTATATGGACAACACACCTAACTAGGGATGGGTATCGAAACCCGGTTCTTGTTGAGAACCGGTTCTCACTGTTTCAATTCCTTGGAATTATTTGCCATTTTTGCAAACGATTCCCTTATCGATTCCAGTCGCCCCGAATGACGTCACCACGTTGCGGAGCGTCGCTTACCTGGCCGGAAACACGGTGCGTAAGCGGCTCAAATGCTCAAAAGTTTGGTTATACTTTACGAGAACGGATGACAACAGGGAAACTTGCAATACTTGCAAAGTAGATACTTCATTTAAGGGAGGAAACACTACGAATATGCAAAAGCATTTGCTCACAAAACACGCGATGACCATAAATGAATGTCGTGTTTTTAATTCCGCTCCGGACTCGTGAATCTCAACCCAGCAGCAGTGGCAACACGTCCTCTGCACGTCCTCTCCCGTTAATGCGGCAGGGAAATAATCAACTAACAGTGCATATTATGTTAGCGCGATCTGCCTTATTACAAAACCTGCCATTACTGTGCATTTAGGTAACCATGATGAGACAGACAGAGTCTGGCTGGCTCAGATGCTGGCAGTTCTCGCTGCAGTCTACCGGTAGCGTCTCCTTTCAGGCCAGGATAGACGAATGTCACCGAGCAGTGTCTAAGTTTGTGGTCAAAGGCTTGCACCCATTTGCCACAGCAGATGCCCCCGATTTCACTTTGGTAAGTGAATGTGTTTAATTGTAGGCAGGGACATTACTGGATATTCTTTTGTAATTGCTACAGAATAATTTATGTTAAACTTTGTTATTACTACAGGAGAATATTTATTTTATTATTTTACATTTACATTTTTTTTCCTGGGGACCCTGTGACACCCCATTGAAGAGCCGTAGGCTGTGGATCTCTTAAGATCTCACTGTTGGGTTTGTAAGGCAATGTTACTCCGAAATTTCTATCTTGTTCAAAGAGAAGATATAAAACACAGTTCTAAGCTAATCGACTTTAGTGTTCTCCTTTTTTAAAAAGAAGAATCGATAAGAGAATCAATAAAGAATCGAATCATTAAACAGAATCGAAAATGGAATCGGAATCGTTAAAATCTTATCAATACCCATCCCTACACCTAACTGTACTTGGTTGTCTTATTTCATTGTTTGATCCACGCCAGGTTTTTCCACTACAGTTCAATTGAGTGAATGGGCATGTCCCTGTTTGTGTTGACTGCATCAAACATCTCTTCTATGAGATTTTCTCATCCGAGCTGTAACGAGCTGAGGTTGTATTTATAATAAATTGTCTCTGCTGGATTTGTTTTTAAAGTGAATGCATGGAATTGGTGCACGCCTTGCTTCAAGCAGACATGGCTGATTCTCAGCAGTGTTTTGGTCACATTTGTTTTTAATAAAAGAAATATTGAGCAATACTATGCATAATACATCAATAACCTCGGACCAGCTAGAAACAGAAACCGAACATAGCGAAACAACTTTCTCTTATGAAAATATGAAAACCAAAAACTGCAAACTTACTTCACAGACACAAATTTCAGAGCTCATACTGATATCATCAAAGAATAAATGAAATTGAGCAACAAAAATACATGCAGGCTTGTATGAAATGTCTATTTCAGTTAAGTCTTCAGTACTGACCTAACAAAACAAGAACCTGAAATCCTGACTGAGTGATGGAAGTAAATTAAACAGAGATTTACAGAAAAATTAAAACACTAAAGCTAATTAAAACTAATGTATATCAGCTCATCTTAAGGTGTTGGAGAGCTTTTTCTCTGATTGATTGATGTTGAAGTTTCATTAACAACAGATTAAAGTGTAAAACAACAGGCTAAGATGAGAGACTGAAAACTACATTGAAAAATGGACGGCCTGTCTTTATCCCGTTGTAAAACAGACGCTATAGTCAACCTTAGTTTAACACAGGAATAGTTTAAAAAAAACAAAAAAACAAACCTTGTTTCCTAAACACTTTAACTTGACCTTGGGCTGTGAAGGTGAATTTGCAATGACTTACAAAAAGACAACCATTATGCTAAATGTGATCAAACTACCCTTACATTAGGCTACAGTAACAGGAGAGGTATTAAAATAGCCTTTTAGATAATCTGCCACTGCTCGAGCTCATTTATGAATTAAAAATATTATCTAACTAAATACATCTCATGTCCCTTTATTTGTCATGTTGATCAATTGTTTTAATAAATGTGCAGATGTTGCCAGTGTATCTTATGTTTAAAATTATTAAGCAGATAATTATTTTGCCATTTAATACACCAAACCAACATCTTCTTCCCCAGTACCAGTTCTTATATCAAAACTCAGGAATCGTGGAATTTATTTTTCAGCTTGGAAAAATAACAAAAGGCATGAAATGGAATAAAAACTGAGTTAGCATTAGTATAACTGATGGCTTACATGGAGCAGGAAAAAGAGATTGACTCTGCTCATCAAGGTAATGATAAGTAAAATCCTGATGTTGAATTCTCCCATGATGAATATGGGAATAAGATGTTTTTGTATTATTAACTTTGCAAATAAAAGACATTGACACAGAATTGGTATCAGTTTCCTCTGTCTGACTGTGTACATTGCAATATTATACTAGAGACTATGAACCTGCCATGATATATCAGTGAGCCATGGGTAAAATGGGTACAAATCCTTTTCAGGAATCAGGAAGGGCATAGGTCTAAACCAAACCAAAACAAATCCCTGTCAAATAAAACAAGTGGCGTGACCCATTGTGAATTAGGGAGTATTTAGTTTACTTAATTCAGTTTATAACTACAAATACGTCAAACAAATGTCTGTTTATTGATTCAAAGCTGGACTTTGAAGCAAATGGTGGAGCTGTTTGTAAAAAAGGGCACCAGAGCCTGTCATGTTTGAGATGGCTTGCTCACTTCCACAACGATAAAACCATAATTTGTTTGTGCTTTTATTGGCTCTGTTTTAGCCCGTACCCTGATGCTATGGTTTGGGTATTGAGTCATAAAGAACTCAAACTGTTAAATGGTCTAAGAGCCTGATTGGTGAGCCACAGCTGAACCCAACATCCCAGTACACACGATGGTTACGCTGGTTGGTTGGTTTAGTTTTACTCAACGACTTGCACCCTTTGCATATCGTGTTTCAGTTTCCTCCTTCTAGACGAAGGTTTCAGGCCTAAAGAGCAGCTTTGTTCCGGCAGCTATTAGTCACATAAACAAATCATAGCTTTGATACAAATTTTTCCCCCCTAATCTTTTCTACGATTATCTGTTGTTTGTATTGAAAATACACATGTAGGGATGGGTAACTGACTACTGCCGACCAAATCTACCTAAGAGGACAAATGAAGTAACCCGAACCTGCTTATTTACTGTCCAACCAACAGTTTTGCTCAGGTGTGACCAAAACCTTTCCTTCTGCTAAAATAGAATCAGATATAGCAGAGGTGCTGGCTCACTACATCAGACAGTACTGCTGTCCACCTCTGAATATAGTGACCCAACCTCAGTGTAGGTTGGGTCAGCATGTCTAGCAGGTCGAAGGGTGATGACCAAGTCTCTGGCTCAAAAGGGGCAGGTTTAAAAGGAATAAAGTGTGTGGACATCAGTCTGAACCGCACAGAAAATGTGACTGATGCTAAGAAGTGAATGTACTGGTTAAATGGCTGTCTTGTTCAGTGCCCCTCAGACAAAACCGTGGACACCACCTAAAAAATAAGGCTTGGGTCTGAATGGAGTCTGTCCCATCAAATCTAGCGAAGGAGGCGGGATTTGTAAGCAGCTTGGGAGGAAGTGTTGCTTGAGAAGTTCAAATCAGGGTACAATAATAACCCCCACCTGGTTTCAAATATGTAATGCAAACTCTCTTGTTACTAAAACCGCAGGCAAGACCTATGACGAGAACCACGATACAGTAGAAAAATCTTACCTGATTGCCCCTGCCTTCCTCCTGCTGCAAAAAGTCGCTCTTACTGCTGTCCACGTCTAAGGCAGCCATATCATCCGCTTTCATTGGGTGTTCTGGGGCTGTGAAGTGAAAAAACATTTACTGTGGGAACAGCCGAAGCTAACGTTAGCTAAACAAACCTGTGACTCACACCCACGTTAAAGTACAGTTAGTCACTAAACCGACAACTACATCCGCTGTTACTAATATCACAAACCTCCATTTAACGGGGCTGTAGCACTGATTAGTTAAATGAAGGCTAAACAGTGATGTGTCCTACACAAGCTAATCTAGACAGCTAAGCTATCGAGCCCTGCGTTAGCCGCTGCTGCCAACTTAGCCGGCGATGATTAGCACTATCACCATCGAGAATCCCCACTAGCCTGCTAGCGAGCTAATTTAGCCAGAGGATGCCCGAGATAGCTCGTTAGCATACGTGGGTGAAAAATAATGGATATTACGTACCAGTCATTGCGTGACTTGTCCTAAAACGGAGAGTCTTGATAGTCACAAGCCACCGGACATGATCAACAGATTACACTGATTGTATACGCGTGGAAATTAGTGATAAGTGTCTGATTTTTTTCTATTTTGATTGACGGGCGGTAGGTAACACAAAGGGTGGGGCCTCCGCTGTTGACTGGGAGCATTTGCGTCACATACAGGAAATCCCGCCGTTCCACATAAAATGATTGGCTGCTGGTTTGTTTTACCTTGTTATTATTTGTCAGCCGACACGTCAGTCATCCTTTGTTGGCTTCTTTTCCTGTTTGGTATGCATTTTCAGCTGGACTGTGTTGGTGGCACTGAGGGTTGTATTTACATTGTTGTTAGCAGTGAACGAACCCTGTTTTAGTCCAAAGCATGGCAGTCACGCTCTCTGTATGATCCTAACTATAGTTCAAGAGCTCTGTCTGCCACCTACAGCTGTTCTCCACCAGATCACCTGTTCATCAGTGATCAATAGTGAGTATTCATATCCCTTACTTTAAGTACTGTGAGTAGTAGGCAAAAACATCTCAAAAAAGCAACACACCATGCCGCAATCTAAACAAAGTAATTGACATCTATGCAAAGCCTAAGACTTTGCGACTCTTGAGAACCACGGTTACAACCACTATCCACAAACTCAGAAACCTTGGAACAGTGGTGAACCTTTCCAGGAAATTACTCTAAAATCGCATTGGTGACTCATACAGGAGGTCACAAAAGAACCTAGAACAACATCTGAAGGACAGCAAACCTGACTTGCCTGAGTCAGGTCAACTTCAGTGTTCAACAATAAGAGGGACACTGGGCAAAAATGGTATTTATCTGAAAGTTTCAAGGAGAAAACCACGAAGACTTGTTTCACATTTGCCAAAAAAACATCTTGATGCTCCTCAAGGCAATTTTGGGAACATATTCTAGGGACTGACATTACAAAAGTTGACATTTTTGGAAGGTTTTTGTCCTGTTACACATGGCGTAAATCTAACATAGCATTTGATAAAAGCTACGGAAGCGTAGAGCTGCCACCCAGGCAAAAGAAAAATAGAGCTATATCACGTTATAACGCGAAAAGTTTATTGTTCTAACCATATACTTTTCACGTTTCAACAACATAAAATCACGTTATTACAATGTACATAATTATCACATTCATGTAATATTATATTTATATTGTAAGAATGTGAAAGTTTTTTTTGTTATAACGTGATAATTATGTACATTGTAATACGTGATATTATGTTGTTCAAATGTGAAAAGTATATTGTACTAACATGAAAAGTATATTGTTAGAACAATAAAGTTTTCAAGTTATATTGTGATATGGCTGTATTTTTCTATTGCCTGGGTGGCAGCTCTACGCTTCCGTAAAAAGCAGTCACACACGGTGGTGGTAATACGATGGTCTGGGGCTGCTTTGCGGTTTCAGGACCTGGAACACTTGTCGTAATTGATGGAACCATGAATTTTGCTCTCTACCAGAAAATCCGGAAGGAGAATTTGCAACCATCAGTTTGTGCCATGAAGTACAATACACTTGGGTTATGCAACAGGACAATGACCGGAAACACACCAGCAAGTTCACCTCTTATTAAAAAGAAATGGGACACAGATAAAATATTACAAACTGTAATCTGAAAAATAACTACAACTGTTTGACAAATGTAGTGAAGTGAAACTTGCAATATTCCTCTCCCTGTTAAAGAAGGAAGATTTTATAAAGTTGCTTAAAAAGGGTGTACTAAAACCATATTTGTTACGTCCCAATGTGGCTAATGTTCTGTCATTTGTCACAGATCATGGGACCACAGGTCCTGCAGATCAGCCTACCATTTTGCAAGAAAACATTAGAGATGGCTGCTGTGAAGTCACACATTTAGAAGCAATCGAGCTAATGCAAATATCAGGTGTTTGGGTTTCTTTTCATTAGTTTCAGCGACCATAATACACGAATCGCATGGTTTGTATCCGATTTAGCTACCAGTTAATTTCCATCTGCAGTTTCCGGGCAGATAAAAAACAGTAAGATGCAGTTAAAATCAGTCAGCAAAGCACACAGACAAATATTTCCCTGCTCATACATTTATGCACATACACACATATAAGGACCCATGGAAATAAAAGATGAACAACACAAGTATCAAAATGTTAATCAATCAAAAAGTGACTAATTTAATCGACCAAACCACTATTATCTTTGCTGGTGCCATAACTTAGGAATATAATATTTTTGTGTGTACAAGGTTTTTAATTTCTCATCATGCAAAGTAACAAAAGGGTGGATTTTGACTAAAAACTCAGTTAGTGGCCTGCTGGGACTGAACTAATACAACTGATGGTTTGTACTGAGTCAGAATGCTAGATTAGCTCATACATATTTTAAAATTTAGGGAAGAGATTTACTCTACTCTTTAAGGCGATGATATGTGAAATTCCGATTCTGAATTCTCCCACGATGCATATGGAAATAGGAAGTTTTTGTGTCATTTACTTGGGGATAAAACACATTTGAGACAGAATCTGAGGTTGTATTTGACTGGATTTCTTCCCCTCCATCTGATTGTGCGTATTACAACATTGTGAAAGTGCATTGAAATGAGAGTCTGCATGGTATTGTATCTGCTCTGTGGCTGTGATGCTATCAGGACCCCACTTCTCAGTATTATTTGTGGTGTGTCAGTTCCTCACAGTGCGCGACCGCAGTGAGGCTATTTCTCCCAACCTTCAATTCAAACTTGGCCCATTACAGCCAGACTACAAAAGCACTTTCCGTGCACTCAGGAGCTCACGGCAGTGAATGGTGGATATTTCCAATCACTCTGCTGTCAATCCAAATGTCAGGTAAACACAGGCCAATGGAAACAGCTTTAGAAAAACCTTGCAGCTACGTCTGTCTTACTCCAGGAGTCCTTGGAAACGTATCAACAATTTCTACAGACCTCGAAGTTAAAGGGAAGAGTCAAATATCCTAAAAACAACACAAATGCAACACTCTGGTGGATGCAGTGGCCTACAAGAGGCAGGTTACTGCTCTTGTGTTTGTCTTTAAACCTGTGAGCATTCTCTAGAGCCATAGCTACAAACAAAGGAAATTAGATTGTATTGACAGATCTTGTATGCACCTCATGAGATGAATCTGAAATCTGCAGAGCAGTTACCCAGTGGACGTTTCATTTTGTCTGTAAAAGTTCAGTGTAGCATGGGCAGAAATGACCTTTTAACTATATGAGCGAGGACCTTTAAAATACTATGCAAATGCAATGTTTTATTAATAAACTCTATGAAATTATAGTTGAAAGTCTATAAAAGCAAAGCAGTCTGTTGCAATGCAAAAGCTTCTCTGCAGCAGCTTCTAGGAGTGGACATTGCTTATGTGGCACATAGTAGAAATAAGAAAGATAACTGAGTGAGTCCACAATGGCTTTGAGTGTTTCGTATTAACATATTGACAGTTGTTTTCATGAAGGCCAGTCCAAGAGAGAGTGACCCCACGGAGAGAAACTGCCCTACTGGGGGCACTGTAAATGGGTCCAGAGAGAGAAAATTGAAACTGGTGCAGAATGAAGAAGTGTGGATGGAATATCAAATGTGTGTCAGACACAACTATGAAGCACCTGAGACAGGAACAATCATACCGTTCTTTGTCAGAGGCGCTTTATACAATGAGGGCTGAGGTCAAACGTAGCTACTAGAAAACTTTTTATGATATTCTTATTGTGGAAGTTCAACATCCTGTCAACACAGAGGATGTGTGGATGCATTTCCCATTCGGGATCACAATCGAACCTATGAATTTTATTTAAACATATAAGGATAGACGGTTCTTTGATAGTAGATTGCATGGCACAAAAGCAAAGGTTAAACAACGACAAGCAGGCACAAAGGTGGAAAGTATGAAAAGACATACATTTACAAACATAAACAGCAGCTAGACAACCAGCAGTGCGGTAAACAGCGGAGCAAGGGTGCAGCACAGAGTTCAGCAACGTGGTATAAGTTTCTCAGATACACATTATGTGTCATTGTGGAGTAGATTCAACCTGACAGCATAACCGAAAAGTCACCATTGTTTAACAGAGTAAAAACATTTTATTGAGAAGAATGAAGTATAAGTAGCAGAAAAGCCAAAATGCAGCGTTTCCATATGAGGACACAACGTCTCAGGAGGTTAAACTCGGTGGCCACAGTTACAGCTACACAATTAATTGTAATGCAGTTCCATATTTTTGCATAGTAAATAATGCCTGGCATTATGCTCAGTAATGACAAAATAGAGGACACAAAACACCTAGTCCAGTGCAACACCTTTACTTGTCACCTTTATAAATCAACTATAAGATTATAATTACGGATTTTAAACTATTATTAATTATAGTTTCAGAGCTGGTGCTCTGAATTGCAATAGATTTTGCAGGTGTGTGTAATTAAGAGGCCAGTATATATGCACAGCAGTTAGAGCAGCACGTAACAGTAAAGGTGGGAAGATGCACAGGAGTCGTTTCTTGGACATTACATAGACGATGTAGCCGTTTATTGTTTAAATGATGGTTTGCTGCATTTTGTGTGATAGTTTAAACACCTAACTTGTTATTAAGACTGCGACCATGATGGCACAGAAAGGAGATTTGTGATGTGGCAACAATAAAGAAAAAGAGAAACTAAATTCCAGAGGTTATGATTTAATTACTCTTTTCTAAGCTTCCTCTCAGCTGTTTATGGCATTCTTTTCACTCAGCACTACGTTGGACAGTGTTTTATCACCCTGACTGTGGGAGCAATAAATCAAAGCATGGTAGTTCAACATGAAGGAGAGGAAACGCTTGCATGAAGTATCATATATGAATGTAAACTTTTTTCCCCCCCTTAAAGTCCAATCCTGCTTCCGTATTACCTCCATTCAGCGTACGGCATTTGGCACACAGAGAAGTCACACAATAGCAGCAATTACAACATGGCAACATTTTTATTGTTATCCAAAATAGAGATAATTTCCTCACAGTAATAATATGATACAGCATGTTTATAATAACCATTGAATTTCCCAACACGATCCCTCGTGTGTAGTTACTGCTCTGAAAAATGCCATAGTTATTTATATGTTTATTTGTTATAACTCACACATTCCATTTAAAAAAATAAATAAAAAAATCTT